TGTAGGCTCAACATAAAATAGACATGACGCACCCACTGGACTAAAGCCTGAGCATAGTCTGACTTGCGAGCTACCTGCCAGTTATCAGGCGGGCAAAACAAATTAATGGATGCATGCCGCAGAGCAGAGAGATGGCATTCAGTGAGGCGGCGTTGAAGCTCCTCGCGCCATCTGCCCAAAGCCTGGTCATTGTACAGCTTCTCCTGGGGAACGATGGATGTCAGGAGCTCACGGATCCTCTTGACACTTTCTTGCTCGTTCTGCGATAACTTAGGATCATCGGGCCAGGACGAGAGGGGGAAGGCGTGTTGAGGTTCAGGCTTCTTAGATGTATCTTCACTTGATAAGCGGAGTGCGTCACGAACCAGATGTTCTGCTACATTTAGGAACAAGGCGTGCATCGGTTCGGGTGCCAATTGCCTTGTAACATCCCAGTAAGGCAGCCTCCATAACTCTGACCACCGGACACCGTGGTTGTCGAACCGGGTCCGCTGATCCTTGACAGAAGATGCATCCCTCCACTCTTCAGCCCAGCGCTTTACCAAGGCGTTGTTGAGCCTCCTCCAAGAGTGATAGTTTGTGTCATGTAAATGATCAATCCCGAACAAATCACACATGGTACAAAGGAATTTACTGGTGGGGCCTGCCATCTGCGCGAGTCGACGGGCTCCGGGCAAGTCATTGACAACAACAGCAAGAGCACTTCGAGCTATCCTACCCAGGTCCGGACTGAGTGCTGAGCGCTGATAAGCCTCAGGATCGTCTGACTCCCGAAAACGCGGACTCAGCACATCGTACAAGCCCTCCGGAGCTTATTCGACACAGCGCTCACACGCCTCTAGGCTTCTATGGGCTCTAAAGACTTGTTCTATTTAGCTCCGACCTTCCTAGCATCCCCGAGGCGTACACGGACCCATTCCACGATTTATCTCCGCGAACAGGAGCTCCGGAGCGACTTAACCAATGCGACTTCTAGATGAATTAGCTCCGGGGCCGTGGGCACTTCTATCGAGGGGCGTCGTCCTCATGCCCACCCTCCAGCACTCGCTCCCCCTCGTTTCCGTCAAGATACCGAAGGTGCGGACGCATACGAGTCACCATGAGGCCAGCATCAGTCAGCAAGCGGCCGGAGGTAATTAGCACGTGACCGGCGCGTCACACGGAGTGATGGGACCGCTTGGATCAGGTGGCAGAGCATCAAGGCAACCTCTAGGGGTTGGGACGAGCAAGTAGGAGTGCAAGGGAGTCGTGTGGTGTATGGTATAGCGGAGGAAAGTGCTGAGCAATCCTGTGGGTAGCGGCGTTTATTTGTTATTTATCTCCGAACGGTCGCAAAGCCATTCCTGTAGTATAAATTGTACAAAGTAGCATACAGAAAAACAAGTTTCGACTTCACCATCTCAGAGAATTAGTGTTACGATCTCAGCGACCCGAGAAGTTCGAAAGCGTCGAACCTAGCGAATTATAACCGATCCTAGCTTTGCCAATAGGCCTGACTCGTCGAGTGAATTATCTCCGCCATCGATCCAATTAGCTCCGGTGAGTCTCACATAGCGAAATAAAATTAACCAAGTTTCTCTAGCAATTTCTACTCCCGTGGGCCCGAACCTACGCTCAGTTTCGTGGTTTGCGACTTTGTCTGCAACTTTCCGGAGATAAATACTCCGGAGCGTCCCTTAGTGTTTGTTTCAGGCGTCAAGGTTTTGTTTTATTTTTCTAGGTCTTCCTACGGACTACCCTACGGCGTCTTACTCCTGCTTTCCCCCTCGAACTATTAAATACCCTTCAGTTGTCTCGGACCGCCTTCACCCATATCACGGGGTTTAGGTTTATTCCTTTTGGTCCTTGGTGATTGTTGTGTGTCAGTGCATATCAGCGCGAAAAGTGATGTCCGCGGAACCAGGATTTCCGTAAGATGTTGATGACGGGACGTATATAGTTATTGAGCTGTGTCAGAGAGGGCTCTTTCGGTCCTGGGATGACTCCAACCAAATATACATTCTCCGGCTTGCTCATCAGCTCAACTCCAAGGTTGAGCGGCGTCATCGATATGATAGTGGAGGATTTAGTCGGGCCACGAAGTGTCATCCCTTCCGTGGCAAATCCATCAACATTGAGCGCAAAGCAGACGCGCAACTCTCCTGACGATCGATAAACAGTTGCTTCTCATCTGCAGAAGATGTAGGACCTTCGAAGGTTCTGATGAAGTCGGCCTCGAAAGGCTTCGTATAAACTCCGGTCGGGGCGTNAAGGGATGCAAGAGCATCATCACATGCCTTATCCATCGAATGATTCAATATCGTGTCTTGCCAG